TCTTGATGAACCAGATCGCTAGTTTTCATTTTGGGGTGGATAAAATCGAGGTACGGTGTTGCTTTCTGAACATCAAGACGTTTAAAATCAGTTTGATCGTTACAAATTTACTTTTCTCACGATTTTGCTATGTCGGGCAAATCAGTTCACAGTAATATGTATATCACATTCCGGAAAGGGTGACACACATGGCATTTCATACATTCGTATCTCTACCACACGGTCTATATGGCTTTTTATTCATGCTCCGAAGTCGTTGTTCATGCACAGAATACAAATATATCACAGAAAACTAAAAGAAACAGATGAACCTGCTCACTATCGATTGATTGCACCGAAATTAAGCGGAGACCATCGCACGACGGCTGTCTGGAATGTGTTAGAGGCAAATTCCGCGATCACTTGTTACAAAGTTCGTGGGTTACGGACACGTTCTAAGTAACTCGATAGTGAAGAAAAAAAGCAGAAAATAATGCCAACTGCGCTTTCCAATCCCAGTTTGCACGTGCCCCATCAACTCCGTCTTCATCATTACGCCCTAATCCGCCAACTGATTCGCAGTAAAAACACTACTACCAAACAGGTGACGATTTTCATGTTTTTTCGTCCTGCAGCTTCGTTCTTTACTGAAAGGTGGGCCTTGGGGGTCGAGTCACTGGGGATAAGGCGTCGTTGAGCCTATATTTCGCTATAGCAATTTTTTGCCGCGAAACCGATTCAGTTGTTTGACGCGGACTCTACTATCTCCCGCCGCTATATTTCAACTTCTGCAGCTGACCGCGGACCGTGCTTTTAACCGCTGTTGCTGCGTTTACACGAAAAAAAAGTTTCATTTGACCACAACACTTCCTTTAAAGACAGCTCCCGCGATAAAAGTCTCATGGATAGCTGCTTTCCAATTAAGAAACAGTAGCTGGTAAGTAATCTTCCAAAGAAGAAAACAAGAAGCAAGAAGCGTCCTCTAGAACAACATAAACATCTGTGCAAGCCCTAGCTCACAAATCTCTCTACCACATCTCGCAGTAGTTGATATCATCCAGTGCAAAAAAAAAGAATACAAAAAGAAAACAACAAAAACGCAGAGGAAAAACTCTTAGGAAAAAGGAATTTCATCAACGCGGTATCTGAATTTGGGATTACGGTAGCGCACGTTTTGTGCGTCGAGGTTTTGCATCACGAAAATTGCGTCACTCGTGCTTGTTACGCGTTTCACCTCGCGAAATGAGTTGAATTGAATGTATATACCTCCAATGAGTAAACTGTAATAAAGGGGAGCAGAATTACCCATGAGTCACGGATGCCACCTCGGCCCCGTGGGTTGAAGGCGAACTGACAACAGACTGATGTAACTGTTTATTTGAACCAGAGTGGTGTCCGAAGGCACCACTCTCTAGCTCACACTAGGGTTAGACTACTTTTTCTTCACAATAGCCAGCCCTTATATACGGGGCTCGAAGGGGCGGAACCGGAAGTGATCGCCATTGGTCCGTTCGAAGTGCTAACGTCACACTTGGCGGGAAGCTAGGCGTGGATTGGCCGAGCGTCCGTGTCGCGTATCGATCGATTACGCTTACGTCCCTAGGAACTGAGAGTGATAAAGGACGAAAATAAAGAGAAACAAGAGTAAAAAGACTACAATATCATGACATCTTACCGTAAAAAGACTACACCGACATTACATGCCCCGCCACAACGAAGAGTCGTCCCGACTCTGTGCCCGCGACTCCTTCGACGACTTAGTAGCGTTTTCTCACGAACTTACCTCTCCGATCTCTCTCCGCGGGATTAATCCTTCTAGCTCGACGTCAGCATCCCTCCTAAGGACTGCTGGTCTGTTGAAAAACCGGGTCCAGCTTGCAGCATTTCCGTTTCGTATCAGCAATGACAAAAGGCTTTCGCCCATATTCCTGGAGGCATTTCGCTCGCCTCCCCACCATTCCTGATCTGCCATCGAGGCCACGCTACATTCCCGCAGCGACTTCAGCGAATGATCCATCGCTATGAGCGTCCTGAAACAAACCACCTTTTTGGAGACAGAGTTTCCGGAGCCAGCTTTTTTCCTGGGTCTCCCTCTTTCCTCCGTGTTGTGGTTGTCCTGAGGGGTTCGTCTGACACTCCCGCTGGTAACTTCACCAGCATGTCAAACGGTACCCTAATCGGGTCTCGAACCCCTTCTATCCAGGTTATGAGGGCGCTGTGGCTCACTCGTGTTCAATACAGCGCGATAAGGCCCATCCCCACGGTTTACAAGCCTTTGGTTGACGGGAGGTGCTCTTGATCTTCCCTGGGGGCCTTTCATGTACACTCGATCAACTCGACTTCTGGTGGCCTTCCGAGATACTCGTCTGTGTTACGGTCATATGCGACTTTCATCCTGGCTGACGCAATCATTGTCACACTCCCTCGCGTGCATATTCACGAGCTAGTTTCGTGGTTCTGGGCTGTTTACTGTCCTGATGTGTAGGCTCTTCCATGCGTCCACGACCTGATTTAGGTTCTCTTCACGCGCACTGCGTTCCACGGAATATAAGATCAAAACCGGATGCAACAAGTAAAAGGGCGAGCTCTCCCGTATGTCTCATGCGCTATGTGTTGTACACGGCAGACGCAATACGGGAGCATTCTATCCCACTCGGGGGTTAGCAGAGACGCTTTTTCCTAAGCATCTGAATGACGTGTTGGTTGGAAATTCGTTCTCAGTCCAGCCCATTCTCACTTGGATTGTACGCCCTTCGTGAAAACGGTGTCGTTATACCCATCAGGCGTCTTTGAGGCTTCTTGCATCAGTCGCTTTATTCAAACTCGCCGTCCCTGCTCAGATAAGAATGCATCTTTGGGTGACGACTGTCCTCAGCGATCCACCTTTCAAGAATACTCCTGGCAACCCCGTTGCACGTTTTTCGAGGGGGGAGGTAATCACCTGCATACTTTGAAAAGTGACTCCACCACGCTGGAGTTATGTAGCGATTTTCCATCAGTCGTCAGTACCATGTCCAGATACTCTATTCCTCTACCGAGTTTCGTATGGTTTAGAGCACTATTGGCTTGTAATGCGCAGGCGTCATTTGGATGCGCGGATGTTTGATTGTGACAGCAGACATTCCTCCGGACATTTCTGGGAACCGATTGAGGTTCACGTCTTCGCCTCATGGTCTCCATAAAAGACGCTCTCGACAAGTCTGGCTTAACCACTTTTTCGGCTAAAAATGTCCCTCGCAATAGTCCGAATGTGCCTTCTTCCAAAGACTGCTCTTCTCTATCGACGACGGCACAACTGACGGGAACTGTATCGTTCTTAGTAAGCCTAGGTAGCCTTTTTATCCAGAACAAGCGTCTGCCACTTTTGAACTTTTTGGGACATTCTTTGGAATCATGATTTCCTCATAAGATTGTCCGCCTGCTTCCAGGCTACTTATGATCTTGCCTATACGATGAGGATCTTTGTCGCAGTTTCGGGTCTGTCCACTCGGGCTGTTCCTTTGTCGCTTGCTACAATCGATTTCCATTCTGAGTGATCTCTCACCTATTTACATGCTCGCTTTAAGATAGCACTGCCGACTTAACGCTATGCCGCTATCGCGGTTTGCAGCCCCTTTCAAGTAGACGGTCTTGCGATTCGTTTCCTGTGAAGTCTGCCTTTCTCGCGTCTGTAGGACGTTATTCGCCAGCTGTGCCGCCCCAAACATCGTCTCCCGAATACGTGGACATGGTTTGACTTCAACGAGCTTTTGCGATCGCGTCGAGCGGATCCACGATCTTCCCCAGCTCGGGGAAGATCTTTGCCCATGCCTTGCAAAGGTTTTTGTTACGCGGGCACCTCAACTGCGTCTTCTCTCCACCTTCCTCATATACACATCGGGGTAAGTTAAGTGGTCCTGTAGAACCAAAAAATTTTCCTCTTCGAGGTGGGTCTCCTTTGCATTGAATAAGTAGCGATCTTGACTGGTCGTGGAGGTATGTACACCCTTTTCGCAGCAGGTCACTGAAGAGAACAGGGTGGTTTACTCCTCCGACATCTTGCTTCTTTTCCGCGTTCATTTATCCGGAACCTGTCTCGCCTACCGTGATCGAAGGTAGCGCCACAGACTCTGAGCAGTTTTGCTGAGGCGAGGTCATATCCAAGTGGCCGCCAGTGCATTGGTCCAAAGCACCAACATACCGGCTCCTCCGGCCATGACAAAGGCAGCGATCCGCTGCTTCTTACGTCGCTCATCTGCAGCGTCAGTCTGATCGCTCCTTTGAAGGACATCTCATGTGCCGAAGCATCGAATACCTGCTTTTGGCTGGGTCCAACGGAATCTCTTCGACGTCGGCATCCAAGTCAAGCGGGGACTCCAATGCTGCCTGGAGTACTTGCAGTGGTATGATGCTGATTTGCGAGCAGTGTCCAACAACGGCTTTGCGTGAAGTGCCCAGAAGATGCACATCCGTGCGTCGTTTTGTTCACCGACCAATTCGCACATTGGTTGTCGGACCTCTACTGCCCACATATCCATTTCCTCAGAGACGCGGGTGGAAGAATCTCGGCCGGCTCTGCTTGCTGAGCCGATCTGGTAACTTTTTCAGTCCACAGTTAGCGTTCTTCATCGGCATCGTTACAGTCCTTTTTCAGATGCTCTCTTGTCTGTTACAGGTTTTAACACACTTTCACGCCCTGCGTACCCGCGCTGAGCCGTCGCATCGCGGATATCGAGCTTTACTGTTTCCACCGTCCAATGTGTTCCAACAGGTGGTTTGGACTTGCCGAGCGATCAAGACTGCCGGATCAACTTTAACGTAATCTAGCGTTCTGGCTCTTTTCGAGCATGACCTTCCGTGGCATTACGCATTGCAGCACGCTACTTGTACTCTTTCACATCTTGTGGCCATGCGTACATTGTCGTTACTCTTTTTTCATTCTTTTGCCTTTTTCAATTAAGCGACGATCCTTCGGAGCTATCTCCAATTGTCGTAAAAAGTTGGAGGTATTCTGGCCAGTCGGTTAGCTGGCGCTCACCAGTTCACCTGCCCTTGTGCGGGGACAGCTCTTCTTCCGATGCGTCTGGAGTAGGCTCTCTTGACAGCCTTTCCAGTTCCAGGCAGAATTCTGTTACGCCTCCACGTTTCTTGAGGTGTTTCAGATCCAAATACGCCTTCATCTGCATCGCCGACCATTGTCCACAGGCAAGCTTTGCTCGTAGAGCTTCTACAAGCTTTCAAAGCTCCCCTCTCTTACGAGCTTCGGTAGTGATTTCGCTACCGCTTTTTGGGTAACCTGCAGTTTGAGACCACAGTTGGGTGAGCAGGTCATTCGATAACCCAAGGCTCTGGGTATTTCATCGTGAACCTCATGATGAATTCATCAAATCCCTTTCCTTGAGGCGTCACTATACACCTCACTTCGGGTAAAGGGCCATAGCCGCAATTATGGACCCATAGCATTGTCGAAGTGGAAAGACTCACCTCGGCTTCGGCCACGGAATCGACGACGATTGGCTCGAGTCCCTGTGTCCTCGGCTTGCACTCGGTCGGTCCTTTCTTGCTGCAAGAAGGTATTCTCATTGTTTTCCGCTGAGACTTGCAGGCCTTCTTGCCTAACCGAAAGGTCTTACCTTCGCCGGCCGCCACTGGATCAAATCCAAGTTGGTACTCCACGTTGTCGAAGTCGCTGACATTCAATTGTTCAATTATACTATCGGCGGGCGGTGTGCTGCATTCTCCAGCAGGCTGACGAGGCTCCTGCAAAACAAGAGGCATTAGAATGCTTCACGATATCAGCCTTCTCTTTTTTCAGGCTTATTTAGTTTCTCGTCGTCAGTGCTACGTGATTTCCCACGCCATAGCGCTCATAATCACTAGAGAGCGCTTCAGACACCACGGCTTTTATGTGCTCGACCTTGTCGACTTTGTAGAGCTCCCTGAGGTCTCCAGCTCCCACTCAATGAGGCTACACTCCTCATTTATCTTGAGCTTGCCGTCTCCTCGAGCTGTTTAGTCGACCGCGTCGAAATTCCTTGGCACTAGTTCAGCCGGAATCTCACGCAGCTTTTCAATGACTCGCCGCGATAGCCTCTATTGAATTGCGCACCTGTGGTGCTCTAAGCCGTGCTATCAACCTTCTTCAGCAGGCCTATCCAGCGATTCTTCACTGCCGACAGCTGGTCTGCTGTGGTTTCCTCACTCAGGAGCATCTCCTCCAGTTCGGCTGGACTTAGTCCTGCTTCTCCTGCCATCACACTATCTGCAGTAGTTGATGTTCACTCCCTCGAATGCGTTTAGATACGCTTCGAACAACTACGCGAATCCTTCCGCTTACAGTCAGTGTACACTCCCCGACCAACAATGACAGGCACCGACACGGATTACCACGTGACGGGTCCCTGTTTACAGTCAGGAGGTACACTGCCTATCAGCGGCAGGACTCGCGCCTTAGCCGGTTTTAGCGGCCTAGCAGGCGGACACCCGAATCGATATCGATTCGGTTCGGTTCGGCCCCCAAGTCACGGATGCCACCTCGGCCTCGTGGGTTGAAGGCGAACTGACAACAGACTGATGTAACTGTTTATTTGAACCAGAGTGGTGTCCGAAGGCACCACTCTCTAGCTCACACTAGGGTTAGACTACTTTTTCTTCACAATAGCCGGCCCTTATATACGGGGCTCGAAGGGGCGGAACCGGAAGTGATCGCCATTGGTCCGTTCGAAGTGCTGACGTCACACTTGGCGGGAAGCTAGGCGTGGATTGGCCGAGCGTCCGTGTCGCGTATCGATCGATTACGCTTACGTCCCTAGGAACTGAGAGTGATAAAGGACGAAAATAAAGAGAAACAAGAGTAAAAAGACTACAACATCATGGCATCTTACCGTAAAAAGACTACACCGACATTACACATGAGCATTAGCAATGCCCGCCGCCCCGAAGAACAACTGAGGGCCTCGGCCTCCTCGGAGAACAGTCTAGCAAGAAAGGCGGTCCAACTGAGCAGGCGTTAGAGCTAGGACTTACAGCGGCTGTAGCTCGCTTCTCGCTCGCTGTGCAGACGAATAGAGTGGGACAGTCTCTAGCTTGGGGGCTGTACTACGTGCACAAGGAAGGACGACCATGTGCTACTTGAGCGCGGGGGCTGTCTTTAAGCGGCACACGTTATCCCTCATTGAATCTCGTGTCCCTATTTTCGCAGTCCCTTATTTGAAGTTGTATATTTCATGTATTCCGTAGCTGTGAAGCACTTAGCATGGCGACTCAAGGATTTCGATGGGTAATAGAAGGTTGCACTACCTATTGTTGCTTGATTTAGGGTGACAGTGGTGGAGGAGCAGTGACCGTTTACAATGGAAAGCACTACTTGCTTGGAATAGTTTCGCATGGAACGGCATGCAAAGCTCTGCTTCGTGGTGAAGACTTCGGCGCATCGGCAAGTTGTGTACTTTGCTAGTACCGAGTCCTGCGTTCGGAGCGTCCATACTTTGCGGCAGCGTCCACCCACTGGTCTCCCAACGGTGTCCACAAGGGCCCCGCGTCTTGACAGCGTCAGCAACTAGGAAAACATGGATATCAATCTAGTGACCACCAACGTCTGCCAGCGTCCACTAGCGAGCAGCAGCAGACTGATGGTAGAGGTATAGAGCGATAGCAGGGTACCAGCAGTCTACCCTCTATCTCCCCATACTCTACTAGCTGTCTGCTACCCTGCTGTCGCCCGGTTCGTCGCTGGTAGACGCTGGCAGACGCTAGATTGATACCTATATCCCCAGCCCTCAAGGCGCCACTGGTCGGTGGTAGAAGGACGCTATATCGACATCTACACTTTCCTAGTCGCTGACGTTGCTCGGAACGCTGGTGGGCGCTGTCGCAAAGTGTGAACGCAGCCTTACAGGCGTGGTTGTGTGTGCCGCATTCGCACCGGTGCGCCTCAATCGCTCAAAGTGACGCAGTAGAGGGTAGAGCATCGAGATGGTTGAAATGGCGGTGTTGGCGCGACTCTGCAAAAGTCTCTTCAACCCCTCAAAAATTTGCCCTCCATTCTGATACAACCATCTCTCCTTCCAACCATACCTGCCACCTTGCCAAACCCATTAAACTTCCCGATTTCGTAGTTTCCCGAGCATTTTCCGAAAAATATAGTCTCCAGGCAATTATCAGAGATACTGGTTATAAAGCACCAGCCGCCGGCGCGCCTCCTTCTGCGATACAGCACCGCTTCGCCGAGCGGGCGCGGCTTCGCCGTGCTTATCTTCTTCCACACATTTCAATATTCCACCCACAGCCACATCCCGCAAGGCCGGGCCGTATCACATAGGGGAATGGAGTGCCCTGGAAGAGCTTGAAGAATTCCTAACACTGGTCCCGCCCACCTTCGCACGCTCACCCATAACGGGTATGCCTCACACTCGTGAACGGTGACCCCTGAACGACCTACTTTTTCCCGGTGTCTGGAGCATTCAGGAACCGCTACAAAAAATTTTTGAAATTAGCCCCGCCCACCTCGCTGCACGCTCCGCTCACAACGGATGCGCCTCAAACTTGTAGACCGGTGACCCCACTGTGATCTCGAACTACTTTTTCCCTGTGTCTAGGGTGCTCTAGAACCGTCGAATTTTTTGAACTTAGCTCCACCCACCTCGCCGCGCTCCGCCCACAACATATGCCTCGCGCTCAACCGATGATCCCCTCGCTGATCTTAAACTACTCTTTTTCGGTGTCTGGAGCGCTTTGGAGCCGTTTTACGAATTTTTCAAACTTGGCTTTGCCCACCTCGAGGCACGCTCCACCCACCAAGATAGTGCCTCGCACATTCCGACGTGTGATCTTTTGGGGACCATAATCCACTTTTTGCGCCGTCTTCAGTGCTTTAGGACCGAACTGCGATTTTTTGAACTGGCACCTTTAAATGCACGCCCTACCCACCGTGGGCGGGCCTCAGCATGCCACAATCATGGTGGACTCTTGCTAGATGTTCATTTTCGTCATGGACTTTTCTGTGGCCTCTTATCTATTCGGGAACCGAGTTACCAACCTTTGTGGAAACCACCGCCCTTCTCCAGCACACCCCACTCTTTCTGTGTCTCCTCCGATTCCTCTGCCAACCCAATGCTAATCTTAGGCGCTGTTTGTCGACGGGGGGGGGGGCATTTTGTACTATCACTGCTTCCCTAGTTCCGGTTTACAAATCTTACTCTGGTAAAACTTGTAAACACTTGTGAAGCTGGAGCAAGATCGTCTAGCCACCATCCCAAAACGTGTCAACTCGAGAAAAGGCCTTTAGATGGGTCGACTCATCACTGAAATGCAAAATGACAAACTGTGCCCTAATCTTATACCAGTTTTAACCGTCTCCGAGGTGCTTTGTTCAGATTATGGCTTTTTGAGTGGCACGGGAAGCGCTGCAAATCTCAAGTACGTCCCGCCCATTTCGGGTGTGTCTCTTCCATCTGCTTTGTCAACACGATGTAACCGTAACCCATTTTTCCCGTCTTCGGACAAGCGCCCCCCATCTCGGGTGTGCTCCTCTATTTGGTTGATCAGCCACACGGACATAGCCGTTTATATATAGCAGGATATAAAGGGCTCCGGCAGGCTTGTTAACTTTACGGCACTGTTCCCTCATCTGGGAACTGTTCTGGATCCGAGTTATGACTTTTTTCAGTGACACCGCTAACTTTCGACGCACGCCCCGCCCACTGTGGGCGGGGCGTAACATGGCATGGGTGCTGTTTAGGTTTTGTCCCATGCCCTACCCATCCCACCATGAACCTATCCCTCCAAATTCTTCTTCAGGTCCTATGAACTTTGTAACAAACAGACAGGTGCATACACACACGGACATAGCCGTTTATATGTAGCAGGATTTTTTGGGCTTGTGCAGGGAAGTAGCGCGCGAAACAAAAAACCAACAAGCGTATAAGTTTCTCTCACAGCTTGGAAGAGCTTCACTCAAGACCTGCTACGATCGCACTTCCCACCAACCGGGTACGCTTACCCATCTACTTCGATGGCATTCTGTCAGTGATGGCGGTAGCGCGACGGCATCTCGACTCTTGCTTCATTTATAGGGCTCACGTCAACTAGCTATAAGAGTTGTGCTACTGAGGGCGATCTGCTTGGAAGCAACGTAGTACATATCCCTGCAAATCTGATCCGTGGAAGTAAGTGTGACTTGGATTGCAGCCAGAATAGCCCTTGCGCCTATTGTTGCGAACACAGGATGACAACATTGAAGAGAAGGCCGTTTGACAGCGCTCCAGTCCACTACCGTCGCACGCCTCATCTTTTGCAGGGATCACGACTGTACACACTAACTAATTGCAAGTGCGTGTCTTGTTTGAAAATTTGATTTTATGGCGATTTTTCCAGGTGCATACTGACACTGCATACTTCACAGCTAGAATTGACTCCTTTCTCAATATGAAAGCTAAGGACCATAGGAAGGAATGGGAAGGCATCCAAATACAATCAAAAAATCTGAACCACCAGGACCTCTTAGCTGAGAAGAGCTCTATTGCTGAGGGAGTGATTCAAAACAATGGTCCTTTTATTGTATGCCTTCTCCTATATTTCTATTTAAATTGAATAAAATTGGTAACTCTTATTACGGACGGGTGTTTATGGTTAGGATAAGTTTCGTCGAGAATCGCCGAAAGACCTCATCGCATGTGAAGTCTGTGACTTTTGTCATAACCATTCGGATCACCTAGATATCACTGAGTGCTCCTCCTTACATGCCACGGCTTGGATTCGCCGGGCCGGCCTGGCTCCGCCAGGCACTCTTCCCTTAGGCGAGGTAGAGTGTGCAAAATGTGCCAAACAGTCACAGCGCATTTTCCAACTAAATGTAGAAGAATTATCTGAAAATTGCTCGACCAATGGGTTAATGTTGAATCGGCGGGAGGATCAGTGCAACATACAGCGCTTTGCCGCTTGCGAAAGAAGCACAGCTGTGGAGTCATGGACGCCACTGGAAAGAGGAGCTTCACTTTGTTCTCTATGTTAGAGTGTGCGCTGCACGGAGAGCCCTCATGTTATACCACGGACGGCATATCCACCTCCAAAACGTTGGTTAGTAAACTCTTTTTGCTTGGAATGAATTCACGTTTTTTTAGACGTACTATGTCCCCCCCCCCTTTCTCCTCCTCCCACTCTCCACCACTGCACCTATCTAAGAGCTTTCCGATACTTTTAACTATATTGTTTTGGTTCTGCTGACATCAGAAGAGAGAGTTCTTACACTGAGCCA